AATATCCCAACTTCCTAACAGTTCACACCCTGAATTAAGTCAAGTTTTTCCTTCCAACACTGCAGTGAATAGCTGTGAGAGCTCTAGCATTGAATTTAGACTTTTTCTTCTCATCTTCAGTCCAGTCTGACTCGGGTTTGGCTGTGAAGCTTCCATCTTCATTCTTAATTTGTGGTTCTTTCCATTCTTCCAAGACAGCTTTCCAAGCTAACACATCTATCCCTCTTATCACAGATTTGATTTTTGACTTCCAAAAACCATAGTTACAATCGTCTAGAACAACCTTCGCGTTTTTAAGCAGTTCTTGATAGCTCTCCATCTTTTCCACAAGACCTCACCTGTATGTAATCTTCACAAGCGACCGCTCTGATACCAATTGTAAATGCAAGAGCTACTAAGTTTTGAATTTGTTCACGATGCAACTCAGAATTTCTCAAAAACTCTTTCGATTAATAGAAAATATGTTTACAAGGTTTCTCCTTTAACACTATTTTCTATTATCACTAAGTCTTGTTCCTTAATCACAGACCGATTAAGAACAATAACTCTCCTTAAAACCCTTAGCTCTCTTTAAGCCTCTAGTTCTCTATTTCTCTCAAACTAAGACTTAATAGCTAGGAATTCTCTCTCGTGATTGTGCTAAGCTTTCTGCAAGCTTTAACACCCTATTTATACTAAATAGGTTGAGACCATACAACAGGTCGATTTCCAATTCTAAAACTAATTGGAATGGACAATTTCCTTTTTCTTTATGGAATAGGAAATTGTCCTTTGTCTTCATGTTTTCCTTTTCTTCTTGCAAAAGGAAACTCTTCAGTCTTCTAGAATCTTCTCTAAGCTTCTAGTCTTCACTTCAAACCGCCATAACAAGATTCTGCATATTTCCTTAATCTTGTTCATGTTGCTCTGTTCTCTTGAGTTACTTCTTGACTTAGTTCAGGTACTCCTTCAGAAGCTGCATCTTCATTATCAACTATTCACTAACCTTCTTAACAAAGAAAGGTTTCACATGTATACAACCTAATTTTCTTATGAGGAAGGAGGTCATGGAAAAGTGCGCACAATTGTCGCAATTTGATGAAGAACTATACAAGGTGATTGGTGAAGGAGATCATGATGAGAAATACCTTATTGCAACTTCTGAGCAACCTCTTTGTGCTTACCATCAAAATGAATGGATCCAACCTAGTGAGCTTCCCATAAGATATGCAGGTTACTCGACTTGCTTTCGAAAAGAAGCCGGTTCCCATGGAAGAGATACACTTGGCATTTTCCATGTTCATCAGTTTGAGAAAGTTGAACAGTTTTGCATCACAAGTCCTAATGATTCTTGGGAAATGCTCGATGAGATGTTGAACAACTCGGAAGAGTTTTACCAATCGCTTAAAATTCCATACCGAGTTGTGTCGGATGTCTCTGGAGCTTTGAACAATGCAGCTGCTAAAAAGTATGACTTGGAAGGATGGTTTCCTTCGTCAGAGACTTATAGAGAGCTTGTGTCCTGTTCCAACTGTACAGACTATCAGTCTCGAAGGCTTCGGATCAGATACGGTCATAAAAAGAGCAATGATCAGCAGACTAAGAACAAGTATGTCCATATGCTGAATTCGACCCTTACCGCGACACAGAGGACTATTTGTTGTATTCTTGAGAACTACCAGCGAGAGGATGGTGTGGACATCCCTGAGGTTCTTCAACCTTTCATGGGGGGAGTGACGTTTTTGCCTTTCAAGATGTGTAAGACCCAAGGCAAAAAATCTACAGCTTGATTGATATTTTGTGCTATTTATTTTTTGGAGTTACGGCAACTTTGTTTTATGTCATTCGGATCTTTTCTTGAATTATTAATTTCTTTTGTGTTAAACATTGCGTCCATGTGGTTCTTTCTCTAACTTCCTGAGAGAAATTTTTTGTTATACATTCACAATGCAATGTTCAATTTTTAAAGATGAAGAAAGATAGTACCTTGACTTAACAAGTGAAACCAGTGATGATACAAGCACAAAGCCATGGTCTTCCGGCACTTGAAGCTTTTGCACCACCTCTGATTTCACCATTGTGCTGTGCTGCTTTAATCTGCAACCAACAAAAAAAAACTTGGCTTTTTAGTTTCATTACAATCTATGAACCGAAAGCTGAAACCTTTCGATGCAAAACCTAAATGGGTAATCAACAAGCACTTTGCTTTTAAAATTCTTTGACATCAATGAATCTAAAGCTCGTGCCTTTCGAAGTAGAAACCTAAAGCTCGTCATCTCAATTCTTTCGCCATTTTCATCATCTTCCCCATAAACACAAACAGAATAAGGGGGTGTTATTGGTTTGTGATTTAAATAGAGTTTTGATGACTTTAATAAAATCATAGAAAGTGAATAAGTGAATGATTTAGAAGAATTGTTAGAGAGTTTTCTATAGTCTTGTTGATTAGTTTTTCTATAATCTTGTAGAATCTTCCAAACAATCTCAATATTTCAGCATACTTTCCATGACTTTATTTTGTAAAGAAAAGTGTTTAAAATCATAAACCAATAACACAATAATTGAATTCATTAACAATCATAGATTGTCATAGATTGTTTTGTTTTAGTTGAATAACACAAAACTTTTAATGACTTTATAAAACTCTTAATCCAATAACACAATATTCATTAAGATTTAAATGAC